TAAAAAATACAATAACAATAAAATTCTGAAATCCGACTGCGGACGAAAAACCACGAATATACAAGAAAAACAAACATTCATTCGTGAGGACGATTTTAGTCTACGAGTGTCGAAAGAGTCATAACAATGAACAATGACCAATCACGTCTCACATATATCAGTTAATGCTGACACGTTTGCGACCGAATATTAAAATCCAGCTTTCGATCCGGTGCTAGACAGATCATTACCGCCTCCCAGACTCTCCTTCTGTGTCCCTGACGAAGAATCTAACAAAAAAAAAGCATTGAAAGAGAATGAATCAAAAAGAGCAAAATATAATTTTCAAAACGAACGGCACTGCCCTCAATAAAATTTACCTTGCTTCCCGGACGCTTGTCCATTTGATGACCATAAAGTAAGTTTATCTGCAAAGTCACAAGTAAGCTGTGCTAGCCGAGCTTGGACTGCCTGTGAGGCCCTAAAGTTTCCAAGTACACGGACGATCGTCGTGTCATGAGATTCAACCTCACCGCTATCTTCTGGAATTTTAACCTGAGCACCTGTAGTGCGCTGTAACTCCCGAACCTGAAAATTTCAATGACACTCAACAGCCTTTTGACGAAAATAGCTGAAACTCACCTACTGAAAGTGAATAATTTGGAGAGAGGTGACAAACAGTTGATATGCAATCAAAAACATCTGTAACAAAAACCCGGATGTCAAGGTCATGCTCAGCTGCACAACAATATTCATAAGTAAAATGCCCCCAACTTATACAGCCTAACAAAAGCGTAAAGCAAAAATCGCGTTATGGCACTACCATAGGAAATGGCAACAAAAGTTAACACGCTCTCTCGCCGCAAAATTATCAACTTTCGCCTGTCCCAAATAATATACTCTCAAAACCAAAAAAATTCTATTTCTTACACAGAATTTGAAAATATTAAACGGATTCAACAAATACAATTAATAAGATTGAAAAAAAAAAACAACAAATCAGTTAAAACTCCATAATCCTAACTGGCACTAACAGCAGAAAAAGTGTTCTTTCCTTCCCATCAGTCAAGCTTTTCCCTTTCACAAAACCGTTTTTATTTGTATTGTTTTCGTTCTAAAATTCTGTTTTTCAAATTCTGCTAAACGTTTATAAGGCACTCTTGAAGAAAAAAACTTTTAAGCAACAAAAATAGCATTTTAGTTACTTCACAATCATTGTGAATGAACACGGCATCGCCCTGGCAGAAATACATCAAAAGCAATCTACTAACCAACAACAATATTGAGTTGCAAAGCGGTTATCAAAATAAAAAAAGGTGACTGTGCAGCAACCTCAGAGCACACCACAGTAAGAACACCAAAGAAACGGCAAGAAGTTCTGTATTGTGAAAACAAAATACATGGTTCCATTGGTTCCCCTACTATCTGGTGATTGAAATCAAAAAACAATAAAGTAAAAAAAACTTACATTCTGTCCCCCTTTCCCAACAATTCTACCAACTATTTTGCTAGGTACACTGACTTCTGTACAAAGGCGTAAATTTTCAGGGTATGTGTAAGTCTGTTCTGCAACTCGCTGATGAATCAGACACTGAGCCTGAAAAAATTGCTAGTTTTTCATACCGCTTCTTCACTCACAAATACTTTTTTGAAAAAATGCTATTTTCCGTTAACCTAAAATTGAATATGAAAAGTTTTATTCTGCAAGTTCATACTCAACGAAGAAATATCAACTTCACTACCTAATACCCATTCCGGACGCTTTTTTGAAAAAAAACTTTGCACTAATTTCTGTTTTTTTGAACTAATTTGAAACATTTTTTAAGAAAATTAAGTAAGAGAAAGCTAGGCGAAAACACATTAAAATGACTCACTCAAAAAGTATCTAAAAGACTAGTGGTAGAAATAAAAACAAAAAAGCGGCTAAAAGCCTCACAAAAGATGTTTATTAAAAGCCTGCAACCACAAATACTAATTTGAGGCTTAGGAAAAAGTCAAAAACTGGCGAAGTACGCAGATAAAACTCGCTCTGTATTGTTGAAGTTCATTTCCCGTGATTATGACAAGCCTCTCATCAGCGTGCATATCTTTGCTGGCATCCCTCTCCTTAGAATTTTCCTTAGTTGTATTTGGTTTCAAAACTTCTTCCTAAAAAAAATATTAATTAAAAAACTTTTTACGCACTAATTAAAAGCTAAAAACCGCTTTAAAGTTTCTCGAAGATCGCGGGAGACTGGCAAACCAGTAACTGTTTTTATAAGATAACTAGGGAAAAAAAAAAAAAAAAACAAAAATGCGTCTCTGAATCAGCGTTTTCCAAAAAAACCAAAACAACAGATCAGATAAAAAGTTACGAGACACAAAATTAACCAACATCCTCAACATTCTCTTTCTTCTCCACTTCCTTCTCATCTGAAGTCGCTTCATTGCCCGATGCAACCTCTTCGCTCCTTTCCTTCTTCTCCACATTCATTTCACTTGCTTCAGAAGCCTATAAATTCTAGGTTCATTTAAAATCCCTATAAAGATGTCTGTAAAACCCGTGAAAATAAACTTACAGCTGTGCCACCATCTACCCTGCTCTTTTTATCCCTATTGGGACCACCACCCTCAATTCTAACGTGAGCTCCCGTAGCTCTCATTACGTTCCGTATATGAACGCCCTGCAATTATAGAGTCGGGATAAAATGATATGCCGCATAAAAACCTTCTTCTCAATTATTGAGTAATTCAGCCAACCTTCGGACCAATTAATCCTCCTACAATGCTATTTGGAACCCACATTCGAACTATATGCACCTGTTGGTTCGGAACTTGTAAATTTCCTAATGGAGCTGAAGTGCCTAAACGACTTATATGTGCGGAAGCGGAGTTAGCCGTGGTATTCAAAAAGGCAGAAGGATCTGGGCAACCTAATGGGTTCATTAACGGCAACGCACCTGGTCCTTGTCCGTACGGATACAAAGCCTTGAAAAAAATTGTCAAAGATTACTAGAAAATAAGAAGAAATAAACAAAAGTGAGCTGTATAATCCAAAAAACCCAAAATTTTATTTAAAAAATTTTTATTTGGTGAACATTACTCGGTTGTTCAGATCTGACTCATAACTTTGACGTAATTTTTGGCTAATTCTCTGCTCAGCGGCAATAACGGTGTTCATATCCTGCCCCTTAATGATAATTGTACGTTCAGTAAACAGATTGATTTCAGGAGGATACATTGTAGCTGCATAGGCGGAACTTAATCTCCCATCCCGTGAAGTTGCAGGATCGCTGCAGAAAATTATAACTATTACAAAATAAATCGCTCTAAATGAAAATAACTTTTAA